GCACCTGGCATGGCGTACATCAGCGGATGTGACCTTTCTCAAGTCTCTCTCGGCAAACCTGAGTCACTTTGATGCACTTCTAAGTCACAGGAGAATGTGAAGAGAAATTGCAGGAGATAAAGGATCTGGGGTAGCCACAGTAGCAGAAACTGGTCATATATTTGTAGGGGAAAACCAAAAAAAAAGACAAAGGAGGAAGTGAACATAAAAAGCATAAACTTACGGACCTGCGTTTTTTTTTTTTAAATTATAGTAACTACTGAAACGTGAAATACATATGTTAACTGCCAAACCTGCAGTCTGAAAGGAGCGTTCAAGAACTGCAAAATCTGAAAGGAGCGTTCAAGAACTGCAAAACCCAGCTCATTCATAGAAATTTTTTCCAACGAGGCTCTCAAATACCATCTGTTCTTGTCCTAATGCTTCTCCAAAACTGAACGTAGTAATGCAACAAGCAAAACAAACCTCCATTTTAAACAAATAGCCTTGTTAGAACTCCAGGCAGCCATATATGATAGCCTCATATTAAGGGAGAAAAAAAATTGTAGATAGAAATCCCAAAGACAAGAGGGGTTGGTTTTTTGTTTGGTTTTCCTCGGGTTTTTTGTAGCAATCTGACCTAATCTCTGTCTGTGGCTAATTACAAAAAACAATGTAAAGGGCTGGCCATGTGGCCTGTAACTCATGGCTAATGCAGTAGAAAAGAAGTTAAAGTTATTAATGAGAAAATGGCATTATTCTCACCCAGAAATACAAAATTATAGGAATTATTAGTCAGTTTTACACATGGTTCTTAGAACAATCAAGAGGCCAATTCTAGTGACAACATTCATGCAGACAGTTTTGTATGTGCTTAAGTGACTTCCGAATCAGGGCTCTATGGCAACCAAGATGCATTTAATTTACAAATCATATAGGTTTACCAAGTACTCTAAATGCCAATACAGTTCACACTAAAACCAGAGTCAGCATTGGTTTGCAGAATAAAAGAAGAACTGACCTGACCTAATGCAGTCAGGTTATTGCATTACACTGGAAAAAATTTCCAGTACAGCCTTATCTTTATCAGCTTAGATGAAGCTGCACAACTTAGACTCTGTCTTTCTCAAGTGCCTGACAATGGGGAAATCTGAATGGCTGAAAAACAGGAACTTACTTTGTAACACAAGCCCATACTTTTGAGAAGGGAAAGTTTCATTTCTGGCACGTAGGAAGACAAGCGTGGGCAGAAGGCAGCATCAATTTGTTCAAGATTCTCTGCCTATTTTTAACTACTTTCTGCCATTTTAGGGAGGATTGGAACAAAAAATCCAAGCAAGTTTTTCACAGAAGAGTGACAAGACTGAACATGGCAATTAAAAAATATTGTTATTCCTTTATTTAGAGTGAAATATCTACATTAGTTTATTTAAACCGGCAGTCTACCAACACCCAAATCCTCAAAAAAATCAAATCCTAAATGCCTCCAATCCTATCAAATGTTATTATGGTTTAATTCTTCTGATAGGATTCTATGTCTTGGCACAGTGATTGGATACAGTTCTACAGCAGTACAGCCAGCACAGACTGGCTCACAGGCATGCATTAGCACAAAAGCCAGCAATTACAGCCTCTGAGGGCTTGCTATTACAGGCCTTCAGCCACATTTGTCTGTCTTCAGTTTTCCAAACGTTGATGAGCAAATGCAACCCGTCCTCAGCTACCCTACCTCTGCTGTGCACTTCCAGGGCCAGTATCAGTTCCTTCTTCAGCCAGAGGGAACCCATGCCCTAGTTTGCAGGAAATCTCTTGTATCAGGAAGCTGTAGGAAGGCACAAGAACACAGTGCACTCAGGCATCTTCCTGTGCAGTTAAAGAGGGCCAGAAAACAAGTAAGATTCGTGGAAAGAGCTGATGAGCCCACACCACAGAGGAGCTCTGCTGCCACTGCAGCACTTCTGGCAAGCCAACAGCTCATCCGTTCCTGTGGGCTGTGTTTTCACCATATAACCCACAACCTCAGATAGCTGATTAGTTATCTGCACCTTGCTCAGTTACGTGGAAACACCGTACTTGCTTTATTGCCTCTCAAGTGCAGCCTACAAACTTGATCAGCATCGTTTCCAATAATTTGTTGGGTGTTCCCTGGAATGCATTTCTTGGATTCATCCATTGCACTTTGCCATCCAATTCACTGCAAGATGAGAGCATTTAGGCCACAGCACACTTTCAAAGACCTCCACATTCACAACAGGGGCTCTATGTTTTTGAAGGGGCTGAGCCTTATCATCTTGAACGTCCCAGCAACTCTCGGGTCAGAACTGCTGCCAGGCCAGATTTAGAGAGAAAAACACTACACACAGCGCTCTCAAATCGCACAGAAAGCCAAGGGCAAGGCAGCATGTGAACTCAAAGCCTGCTAAGCCATAGGACTGACCATTTGGTTATCCTGCTTTCTGCGAGAATTATACACACTGGAGTAACTTTTTGCTCACTTGTACCCTCCAATCATACACATCATACATGTTCATCTAGCTGCTACCACAATTTATTTCAAAAAGTCACTATCACACTTCGTATATAATACAAATGTTTATATACATTGTATATACACTTCAAAATACGAAATCACTGCTAAGTACACCATATGTATAACATATAAGAAAACATATGTTTAAAAACATGTTTCTAGACACCAGTTGTATTCTTGAATACATTTCCTGTTGCGTATTTTGGCATATGCTTTGGTACTGTACTATATAAAATACCTATCTCTAATGAGTTATCTACTGAGGAGTTATATTTGAAGTGAAAAACACTTCTGAATTATATAACTTTCAAGTTTACTTCTCCTTCAACTTTTACACTGAGGTATATAAATTACATCAAAAGGTACTGACAATAACACTTCAGGTTTCTCTCAGACACTTCAGATTTTGAACGCTTTCCAAAACTACAGACTGATTAACTTGTGGTAAAATGTTACAGAAGTAAAATTCATTTCATACAGTGTACAGGCAAACCACCAGGTATTTTAACTGCACAGAGACCAAATCAAGAACACTTCTTCAGTTCTGAATGCAGGTTCCATTGACGGCATGCACAAGCTGATCATCCACATGAATGGTCAGAGCATAGTTTAGGCATCTATCCACTGTTACATGATCTTTGCACATCTTTGCTAAAATGCAACCCTTGAAGGCCCAGAGAGTCAGCACAGTGTTAAGAGCTCAGCTCTTGCCTCTTATCAACAGAGAACATCTAAGGAGTTACTCTTTTCTAAACCATCACAAACATTCATAAGCAGAAAAACTCTAAATGTCCATGTACATGTTCCTAAACCTGAGACATTAACAGACTTTTCCAAAATCCAGAGCACTGTCTGGAACCAAACTTGCTTGCGGGTTTCTCCCTACATCCACAGCAAGCAATCAAGTTCCACAAAAGTAGTTTTAGCTAAACAGTTTTACTGTGGAGATGTCCAAGCTTGACTGAAGCATATGATGATAGACACACCAGGGTATTCAGCACAACAGGATGTCCACCAAGGGGAAGCACACAGCATGTCGGTCGCACAGGGCTTATAGACAAAACATTAGTTATACACGGAAACTACTGAAGTTTACAGTGCAGACAAGTGGTACTCTACATTTCCCCCTGTTTCGAACTACAGTTTCCACTATAATGTTCTAATCAGAAATTACCATTCCCTTTGCTTTCTGGCAATCCGCATATTCTACTTCCCACACACATGAAGATCTCCATGGAGATTTCCAAACAGTTGGAGATCTGGAGCTACCTGGTGATCTTGAGTAATTCCATTTGTTGGCCTGACAATGGGGATACTGCTCAATGTGTTAACATGACATTTTCTCAATGGATATGTTTGAAGAAATGCAGAAAGGAGAGAAGTGGCATTGAATAGCCATCTCTCAACAGTCACTTAACAACTAGCACCAGAATTCTTGTGCTATTCTGGTGCACGGCCAGCACAAGTTACTGTGGGATGGCTGGAAGATAACGGACACATAATGAGCGATCCAAACTAGGCAGCTGCAGGCTGTGCTAAGCTTGAAGGTCGTTTACAGAGATAGGGAAGTTTGAGAAACTGAGTACTTGGCAAGAAATCAAAGAAGTTGGACTGAAAAGCAAGTAAAAGAGGATGTCAGCAAGGACACAGATGTTACAGAACGAAAGCGCGTGGACAGAAGGCTAGCACAAATCATAGCCGAGTTACAAGCGCGTGAATTATTGCAATAGCCTATGGGAGCTGTGTGTTGGGGGGCGTGCTTATGACAACTGTATAAATTGAATTAAAGCTGTGTAATAAAGTGGCATTAACCTGATCATATTGATCGACTGTGTTGTGTCCGTGACTTCCACGTCAAGTTACCAGCAATGACAACCGTCTCTAGAGGCACAGCTGACAAATGCCACTCGACCAAGAAGAAACAACTTGAAAAAATGGAAGCACAAAGGAAGCTGGCTAGGTTCATCAGGGGACATTCTCCACCTAAAGTGAGGAGAGTTCATTTGGGAACTAGACTGAAACACTGGAGATAACTTGCACTGAGAACAGAGAGACATGCTCTGCTTAGCATCTCAGAATTGTAAGACAAGATATAAACTCACTCATAAAGCAGGTCTTTTGATTTCCCTGTTTTTCCGTCTGCTCAATGAATCAGCTCTTACAGCTTCATAAACATTTCATTCAGTCCAAAGACAACTGCCCATCACTACATACAGAATTGGCTAGAAATGCACGGAGGACTATTATCAACTCAGCCCTGGCAACAGGGATGCTGCAGGATCTGCCTAAGAGAAAGAATCACATGATTCCACCAAGAACAGCTACTCCCATGGGTCCTAATGCCAAAGGGGCTGCTCATTGAGACTCAAAGGAACCGAAGCGCAATTAAACAGTTACACACATCCACACATACAGCCACAGAATGCTCTGTCACATGACTTGATACAATTGATTGGCTCAGAAATGCAGGAAACAGTAATGCAATGTGGAGTCAGTTTTTGATGAGACTAGAATTGGAGTCAATTTGTTCTTCCTGGATAGGAATTCGAAAGCTCCTTTCTTCTGAAAGACAAATAATAAAAAAAAATACTGTACAGAGTAGAAGGGGCAGGAAAAGGGAAGCCAAGGACTTTTCTAGTTTCATGGGTGACTGGGCACTTATGAGTGACATTTAGGTCAGTGCTTGCCTTTCCAGCCAGTGCTAGGAAACACCAGAAAATACACTTTACCATTTTGCTCTGTGAATGGAACATGAGGCAGCTGTGGGCTGACTCAAGAGTCAGGCTGCCACTTAATTCTGAATATAGAGTTCAGCTCTTCTCAGTCAAACCTTTCCTGAGTTTGCAGGAGACACTTCAAGACAGTTCATTTCTATGTAGGCAAAAAGGTTCACAATACACTCTTTTAAAGACTGTTGATTCTGGATCCTCTCTGTACTGAATAGAATTCCCTGCACAAAATCATTACATCATTTTTGCAGGGACTAAGGGAGGAAAAAGCTAGGAGGAGTTAAAATCAGAGAAAAAGAGAGAGAGAGAATCCTTCTGCATGGCAACAAGCAGGGGAATCTGTACTCTGTAAGAATGCAAACTTGAGACTCTATGACCGCCAGTGCATCAGGACTAAATAGAGGCTCAACCACTGGTATTAACTGCAGATGACACTGTGCTACTTAGCCAGGTAGACTTCATTATGACTGAAACAATTATCAAAGTTCAAATAGGGGCCCTGATTATTCTCTTTCCTATACAACTTTTCCCCATAAAAAGAAACTCACGCTGATGGTTGTTTTTATAAGGCCTCCTCTTGGTCTCTTTTTTGGCTGCTTGGATAATCAACAGGAGGATGGACATTCCACTCACCATGAGCAGTATCAGACAAATAAGGATAAGTGATAAAGACCCTGGAAGAAAAACAGAAGAAGAATACACTAAAAAAGATTCATGGTTCCAGCTGGAGTTTCCATGGCTTTCCAGCTTCAAAAGAAGGAACCTAGAACTCCCGAAGTACCCCTGAACCACAAAGCCTGAAAGTCCCAGCTGCCAAGCAGACTAGCACGAAGTCTGGAATCCTGTGCGTGTCTCACGGAAAGACTGTGTAAAATACAGACATGGCTTCTGAGAAAAGTTTCCAATTAAATGATTTTCAGGTGAAAATTCCTGACCAGCTCTAGTAAATAGAGAGACTACACGTGGTCATTCCCTCTCCTTACCCCAGTTAGTCTCTGTGGGGCTGGTCGTATCCGGGCAAATGAAAGTAATCACACTGGGTCTGGATGGTGAGAATATTGCAGTCGACATATTATTCTTGTGCTCAGTGGTGGAAAGATTCAAAGCAGGTGTTACACTCTGAGAGGCAGCTGGCTGTGTGACATGGTTGCTGCAAACAGCATCATGTGTTTTCGTCCCTCGTTGAAGAGTGTTTTTCCCAAGAATGCTGCAGCTAGAGATGCAAAATAAATTAGCATAGTTTTTCAAACAGTTGCAGTAATGACTTTATAAGTGATCTCCATGGAACAAGTGAGTGAACATTACAATTCTTGTTTTATCAATACAAACTCAGGCTTAACCTTTCCTAGATTCTACAGATATCTGAAGAACAACTAAGCTAATCAAAGTTATTACTGGAAAAAAACTGACATTCTGTTTTTCTTAGCATCTGTGCACGTAACAGCCTTGGAGCACAGCGACATTTGGCATGGGAACTTTTTGCTACAGACACAAAACATCTAGATGTTTAAAAAAAAGGCTGAAAATACTGTTGTTGCCGTAAGTGAAGAAAGAAAGGGCAGAAAGCAGACAGATGCTTCAAACCAGTACACAGACTGCTCAAGGCTCCCCAGAGTCATGAGGAACATGGTTTCACTGCACCTACTGCAGGTTTACTCTACACACCATGATTTGGGCATCAACTGCTACAGAAGTAAACCCAAAATATTGCTCTGAACACGTCTGGATCAGTGATACATACTTGGTCCAAGGTCGACAGTTTTCATTTTCCCCTATGGAATAAGACCCTTCAGGACATGGTAAGCATACTGGGGAAAAAAGAGAGAGGCAGAATTTGAGTTCAGTTAGCAACATAACTGTATGACAGCTACACAGCAATTACACTAAGAGCTTATACAAGTAGTCTAGCTTTCAGACCAGACCCAACGAAACCCACATAGCCTCTAAAAACCATAGTCATTGGGTCAGAAGTAACACAATATGCTCAGTGGTTCATTTTAGTCTGCAACTGGCAAGGTTTCCTGTTTTCTCTACTGGCTAATTACGGATATTAACAAGCAGAGCATTAAGACTTCTGACAGCTCAGGAATCGCAGAGCAACAGTCTGCACAACTACCCTGCTAGAACACTTGTGTGGAGATATCAATGAGACAAATGACAACAGCTTTTACACTAGAAGTAACAACCATCTCATCTGAAGCGGAGGCAAGAGTTTGGAGAGTCTAACACATCACTAACTTACCACTTCCCAGTGTAAAGCTGACATCTGGCATGTAACCTGCCATACACTTGCAAATTCTATCAGAGGTCTTCTCACACTTCTTCACTTCCACACTCCCCTTCCCTAGCAACAACAGAATAAAGGGCAAGTGAGAGACAAGAAATAAGAAAGAAAAAAAATCAATTACTCAGTGCCTATCTGATGTGCATAGAAACAACTGCAGAGAACAGAGTTTATTAACAATTCTGAAGACACCAATTTTCAGGTAGTGCAAGGCTGCTTCCCTTTGAAGGCTCTACCATCAGTACCAACCAGGAGATATAGCTATTGAAATAACAACCCAGTCTTTGGACTTGGTCGTCTCCAGTGACAGGCCTTATGACATCAATCTTTGAGGAGCACACAAAGATAAGAAAGCATATGAAGACTGATTGCGTCCCAAATTTATATCAAGAAATGACCATTACACAGCTGACTTACTAGCGTTGCAGATTGTACAACTCTGGCAGAAGTTGTGGTTGTGCTCACTGCTAAAGTATTCGTCTTGACAGGGGGCACAGACCGTGTCTGTTGTTGCTGTGCAGCGGATTCTCATTCTTTCACCTAGAACAAAGACCACGTAGAAGGAGGAACTGATTGTTATCAGAAGGAAATCCTCTTCATTTTCATGCATTAGAATGAGAGTGCCCGGAAAGCGACAGTTCCACTTACAACTCTGGCTAAAAACATTCAGCAGATTTAGACATGCCAGAATACCTAGAAGTTTTGACCCACAGCATCACTGTAAATTAAGCAGCTAAAATGGGCTAGCAGGGGCCTGATGACTTGCTGAGAGTTGAGGCAATGCCCCAAATGATTCTCCCAGTGGATTCCAAATATCACTTCTCTAGACCACATTTTCATAAAGTTTAGACATCACAGTTTGCAGCCAATGTCAGTTAGGAAAAAAAGCAGATTTTTAGCATAGCAATAGGTCTGATCTCCAGTGTAATACAATGGCTTTATGACAGATCCTGCCTTCCCTTATGAGATAAATCATGCAATTCATCCTGAAGTAATCCCAAACAAAAGATGTACAATATACAAAAGGTACAAAAGATGGCAATGGACTGCTCAGGTTTGCAGAAAATTCATTAGTGAAGCAGTCAAGAATAAATGTTTCTAGTATCTTTCTGTTGGCATTCTGAAAGCTCATTAGGCATGAAAGAATGCGGTTGTATTTTGATACGCATCTGTACTGCACCCAACAACATCAAAGATGTTACTAGCTCCATTTCATAAACAGTGAGATGCAGCGCAAGATGTAAGGCAGGCATTTGTTACTATCCCAAACAGTATCTGTGTATCACACATTGCATTTAGAAACAAGCTCTGAATGCCTGCGCCCACACTGTATGATACACAGTACTTACACAGAAGTTCGGCTTGATGCACTAGATGACAAGGTTCGTGAGCAAAGCGACTTGCCCAAACTGAAACAGCAAGTTAACAGCGGATTTTGGAAAAGGAGCCAGACACGTTCCTTCTATCTCACTAGCTTCTCTCCGTACAACACAGGCTGCCGGAACTATAGACAGCTTTAATGACTAGGATTTTTACAGTTGAACTTAAATACATCCTTATTCTCACAGACTGTTTCTTTCATTTTGGTTCTCCATTCTCCCATTCTGTAGGTGAACAATGAGCACCAAGTCTCTTGCTCACTCTAACTTTCTCTGCCTTCTATTGAGTGCTATCAGTGGCAAAATACAGGAGATTTTTAGTGACCAAAATACATGCAATACACTTCTACATTTTTACCATCTATACAATCAGGAAGAGACCATGAAGAAATGTTTCCCCAACAGCAGCAGATTTGCTAACAATGCAAAAAACCCGATAAAAGTTTTTTCAGCGTAAGGAAGAAAAAAAACTTTAGATAAAGGATTATCTGTATCTGCACACAAGTATGCCTTTCTTTAAATTGAGTTCAGAAACACTCAGATTTAAATAGTTTTGAAAATAATGCAATAAACTGCTTCAAGCCTTAGATTAAAGGTTGAATTTATTCCAGTTAGCATCTTTGAAGCACCAGTTCATACCATATCCATTTTGTGTAGTAGACTTAATTTTGAAAATAAAAAGTAACTATTCTGAAAGATGCACATAAAAACATACGCAAGATTTTAAGGTGTAACTGCATTTACAGACATGATCTACGCTCCCTCTAGGCACGCAGATGTACCATTCTTTTAGTACAGTCAATATTGACTGTACTAAAAATAATCCCTTCTGTTAAGGGGATTGCCCCTTGAACAGCAGTATTATCTATTAATTGTTGTTACTCTTTATCACTAAGTAATTTCTACAATGAAATCCCAACTATTAAAGTATTTGAGGTTTGGTATTTTGCATTTGTGCTTCTCAATACAGCATTGCCTTCAGAGATACAGAGATTGTGGAAAAAAACACATATGCGTGCCCAGAATTCAGACTAATTCAGTTTCTACAAAAAGAAAGGAGGAAACAAATACATTTCCTGTGAAATTACACTTTGCTAATATCTGTCTATGAATCAAGCATATCTTTTTCTTTAAAAAACCATGAAGTCTTAAGTAGTATAAACCTTCCTACAAAAGAAAGCTTAAAAAACATCTTTAGCAACAGAATTAATTACCTGAAGTTTTACATTATTATGCAAGATTTCTGAGCTTCTTTATGTGATAGGTAAAGGACTGTAATGTAAATGCTACCATCTTTTCTCAGCTAATATTCCCACAATGAAAATGCACCAGACTGACACATTAAGGAAGCTAAGCCACACATAAGAAGTTAAAGAACATGTAGCTCTTTCAGAGAGGATTCCTAAATTTAGTATGTTATAGAAATAATCTTTGTCAGTCTAGACCGATATGAAAGTTTCCTCATCAAATGCTTTTTCTCCATGTTATGCTTCCTACACTTGAATGATATTTCCATCAAGCTGTTTTCTACCACCCATGGGTTATTAACCGATAGATATTACATAGAGCAAGTATAATTTTCTCTGGATGTGTGTTACTTACCAGGGGCACAGTCCTTGCAGCATTTTTCATGGAAAAGGTATTGATGTTCCTTGCATTTCAATCCCAAGCAATGGCTAATAGTGACTACCAGCAGCAAGAACAAAACAGTAGAAAAATGCAAGTAAAAACCTACAGCTACCATAATGCAGCCCTACCGTCCCAGCAAAATTCTGATAGCGGCAAACTCTTGGAGAAGTGATTCTAAACCACTGGTGACCAGAACAAATTCATATGTCAGCTGCTGGGAAATTCCCAGCATGTGCTCCACGCCCCCATCCTTCTTCCCGCACCCCACAAACCTGTTTTTTGCAGTTCACAATTGAAACATTCACAGGCAGAAAGACAGCACGCTGAATAGCGTTATGAAAAGACTTCTATTCATAGCCTTAAAACAGAGTGCTTCCAGCCAGGTACGTACCTCTCTACATAGTATTAAAGCACAGGCCTTGAATGCCAGGAGAACTAGAAGAGATGATCCTTGTTATTGTAAAGAGGAATATTAAAGCAATACAGAGGTAACGCCTGAAAACCTTTACGGACGAGCGCCATAGGTAAAATGAAACATAGCCCACATAGGTTTGCTCCTTAAAAGGCGAAGTACAGACAGATTCTCTCCCCTTGGTCTCACAGTAATGGCAGACCCGTGACTTTTATTGCTGCATGAAAACCAACGTTGTTAATGCATTTCTCTTCTCAGGGAGGATGTGGAATCACAAGTCATCAGTCATCTTGATATTGCCCTCAGGAGCTAGCAAAAGCTACAGATGAGAAGCATTTCCATTTCAACTCTTAATATGAGACTCCCTGCATTGCCATTGAAGAAAAGTAAGCTCCTGACTCCAAAATAGAGACTTTGTGTTACCCCTACCATTTGCTCCCATGGAAATAAAAGCTTCCAGCAGCGGTGCGCTCTGCAAAAGCAAAGGATGCAATATTCACGTACCAGCTACTTTTGATGCCTATTTTGTTCCACAGAAGCATGTTAACTCTGGAATCCAAACCCCAAGAAGGCTTCTCCATCCGGCTGGGCAAGCCAGCAACAACAGGACAGAAGTGGAGGAGGCTGAATAGCATGCTGGCCTTGCAGTCCTGCCCTCGCCTAACACAAATATGTAAAGTAGAGAAAAAATTGATCATACTAGGAATTAGTCAGTTTAACTTTCTAGGCTCGTTATTAGAATTTTACCAATTTGATCTTATTGATCTAGGATCTAAATTTTAGGTCTTCCAGTTCTAAGAGACTTGAGCAATTCTTATGCAAAGGCCCAAGTAAACCAGACATCCTACGTAATCAAAGATGTTTTATTTGTTAGTTAAAAAACAGCCAGAATTCCCAGACAAAGCAGATCTACAGTCAATTTACATCTAAATGCAAAGGAGATTTGATTGCAACGAAAGTACATTTGGAATCCAATTAGCCTGCAGTATTTGGGAGGACTGAATAGCAATATCGTGGCATGTTTTATCCAGAACTGCTGCTTTTCATTTCTTTCTTAAATTTCTGTTAGACTGTTTAAGAGTGGAAGGGGAGACAAAAGTGTTACAAAACAGCAACTATTTTTCTACTTCTCTTATTTTCCAAGCATTTTGGAAAACCACCACTATGGAAAAGAAGTTATACCTTAAAACCATTCTTTTCAAAAGGAAACAAAGCTGACAGCAAGTAAACCATACCAGCTGAACCTCAACTACCTTCACACTCAGTAGCTGCATGCAGGAAATATCCAAATCTCTTCCCACTGTAGTATCACACTCTATGCCATTCAAGTGGCTTTACGCCTCATGACTCAGTCATTCCCTCAGCACTATTTAACCAGCTTTTCCCCCCCCCAATTCTCTTTCACAAGCAGACTTTACCTATTCAGTAACTCAATTATTACTCAGTAAGAAGCTGAAAATGCAAACTTCTATGATGTTCACAAAAAAGATAAGGTTAAAATTCTGCTATATAAATTTAAACTGAAAACTCCCAAATTACTAGAGCAGTGATGATGAATCACTGATATTCTTGTTAAGGATACTTTAATACAAATTAAATGCTCATTTAATAAAAGCAGTTAGCACACAAACTTCATATACCATCTTGAGAATTCAACTTTTATATATGGCATCCTTAAGTGTTACCAGGCTTGATATTGCCAGATTCCTTTACGTGGCCATATTATGCAAGTAAATAAAACAGGGAGAAAACACAGCGATTATCCCATAGCATTTCGCATCTAGCAAAATCCTTGGCTGGATTTTCACCAATGCAAATTAACCCCTCCCAAATGCTGCTTGGCATTGCTGTGGGGATCACATGTGCCACCAGCTGCTCCCAAAAAACAGCCTGATGCAGCTACTCTGGCTGTAGTAGGAGAGGAGAGCTTCAGAGTGGTGAATTGAGCCATGCTATGGCTCAGCAATAAGACCCTGTTCCTGTTCTGCTTTTATTTAATATACATGCACCATTTTTGACTATAGACGCTTATCCTAGATATTCTAAACAAGCTTTTGAATTCTGGAAAGACAAAACATGTCCGTGAGATAGCAGTACTCAGATACCAAGTCC